AGCTGCCCAGCTGCTCACTGTTTGTAAAAGTAAATAAATAGTATTTTCATTTCAATAATGTACTTTCTATACCCTGCTTCATAAACAATACTGACATCCCTCTGCTCCTCCGAGTCTGGGGGTCCGGGGATGTGAGGACCGCGCGAGGACACACGGAGGCTGCTTCACTTCATAAAGGAAATGGCGGTCAATACTAACAACACAGGAGCTAAAACGCTTAATAACCTTCATTACGTGTTAGAGAAAGAACATAAGAAAGTTTGACAAAGATGAGGCTGTTAAACGGGCAGCGGATCCGCTGTGCGTAGACAGACAGACAGAGAGAGAGAGAGAGACGCTGAGCTGCACCGTGCAGCGATCAGCTGATACGGAGCATAGAGAGGGAGAGCTGCAGTCCGCGGGGCTCGGCCTCGCCTCCTGTCCTCACAACTCTTATAAATCCTGGGACCGGACAATTGTTATTTCTTGTTCCTACTCGGAACCGAGTTTTGCTTCCCAACCCTGCCACTGCGCTACACTTCCCGCCCCGCCCCAACTGTACAGAAAGCGGCGAGATGCATTTCCTTAGGAATCAACATGCAGAACCGAAACTAACATTTCTAAACGAACAATGGCGGACACGTACAATTTGCGAATGAGTTCTGCCTTTTGTAAACAGAATTTATCAATAATTTGTCAATAAATCAGGGCGAAAAACGTCACTTGTCCACCGGACAAGTCAATTGAAAGATCTACTTGTCCGATATTGTAAATAACACGTCCCGGACGGTGGGACGTGTACTTTTTCCGCACACTGCCGTCATAGACGGAAAATATTTGGTTAACGCGACCAACACTGCTCCTGTGACTGAGCTCTGTAGCAAACTCGCTTCCCGTCTGTGATGTAAAGCATGTTTTCTCTCTGTAACACTCTTCTCCCTTCTGTCTCCTCAGGACATGGGCACTGTGATTCTGGGCAAACTGGAGTCGGGCTGCATCAGTAAAGCACAGCAGCTCGTCATGATGCCAAACAGAGTGAGATATCCCACAAGCCTCTGCTTCCATCACATCGAGCTGAGAAAGATGCCAAAATCCAAACTCCTCCCACTCTGATGTAAAATATGACCATTTATCTTCCACCCTGTTTGTGTCTGCAGCATACGGTGGAGGTGTTGAGTCTCCTGTCAGATGACGTGGAGACGGACGACGCCGAGCCGGGGGAAAACCTGAAACTGCGGCTGAAGGGCATCGAGGAGGAGGAGATCCTGCCCGGCTTCATCCTGTGTAATGCCGAGAACCTGTGCCACTCCGGGCGCACCTTCGACGCCCAGGTCAGTGTCCGAGAAGCTCTAGAGACTCAAGCAGTTTGATCCTGAAACAGTGAGCATCACAAGGGTTCCCTCCACATACCAATGGGCACTTTCCTTTGAATTTCGGAATGTTTGCCAAAAAAAAGATCTGTGGCAAACGCAGGTTTATAAAAATGTACACATTTTGTTGAGCAGGCTAATCTCCACACATTAACGCCATATAAAGATCTATATCGGGCTATAAAGGGACTACATCACAGTCACATGACTTCACAACAACACTTTTAGGCTTTCATATCATTAAACTCAGTTGGTGCCAGCTTTATAAAGTTAAAGAATGTTTCTCTACCTTACAGATCGTCATCATTGAACACAAATCCATCATCTGTCCGGGTTACAATGCCGTGCTTCACATTCACACCTGCATTGAAGAAGTGCAAATTACAGTAAGTCTGACCTAACTGTGCCCCTCCATGGTGACTGAACCTGATCAGGAACAAGGATTGGTTAGAGACATTTGAACACATTTAGCATGTTGCTAGGATTGTAGCAGTGTGATGTTTTGTATGGATGGTTTTTTAACCTGAGCATGTGCTGATAATTTGTTCCTCCTGTGTGCAGGCCTTAATCTGTATGGTAGACAAGAAGACAGGAGACAAGAGTAAGACACGTCCACGATTCGTCAAACAGGACCAAGTCTGCATCGCCCGTCTGCGCACTGCAGGGACCATCTGCCTCGAGACCTTCAAAGACTTTCCTCAGATGGGACGCTTCACCCTACGAGACGAAGGTACAGCGTCTGCACACAGGTGTTGGGGGCCGGTGGAGTTACACTTTAGGGTCACATTTCACAGGGCCCAGTGCGGTGTGTCCAACTGTCTCTAGTCCTTAACTCCCAAAAATAGAGATATAGAAAAGTGTCACTAAGACTCTCTGGTGTATGTTTGATAAATGACTTAAATATAATGTAATCAAAATTGTTGCTAATTAAGCAACAATTATGATACATTAAAGTGGACCTATCATGCTATATTTGAATAATATAGTGTAGGACCATACCTATATAAGGCATATTTATACTTTTTATTTTTCAAAATACCAAACAGATCATGCATTTTAGCCTTTCCTCATTTCGCTCAATTTAACACTGTCTTTTCATGGGCTGATTCTGTGAGAACAGCACCATCTACAGGCCTGGCATATGTACTACAGCGTCTCCAGTGCTTTCGAACGGCAATGTCCGTGGCTGTCTCCTCCTGATTGGTGGAGTTGGCCCAATAGCCGTAGCGCCACCTCTGTGACGTCAGAGAAGTGTTCAAATCTGGATCAGCCTGTATCAGATCCGTTGCAGCCCCTTTTTTTTAGAGATTTGGGTATGGAGGAAAATAGAGAGGGTTGTGTTTTCTGACACATATTCATGTATAAAAGACGTACAAAAGTGCATTTTGCATGATAGGTCAACTTTAATTAAGCTCTGCTGCTAACTAAAATAATCATACCCTAGCTGCCATTATTAGGAAACATTCGTAAAGATATTTACAGCATTCATCAAACAAATAACCACAAAATATAGTTTAGTTTTTTAGGGCGAATGAGAGCAAACTTAGTTCATTCACTTTTTGGTGCAAACATGCTCAATATACTTTGTAAATGTAACTATAAATCCACTTAACGGCAAAAACGGATATTTGTGCTCCGACATCAAATGAAGATTAGATCATTTTAAGTTGGATAATTTCTCTTGTCTCTTGGGGAAGTTGGAATTAGGGTTGCAAAATTCCGGGAATTTTCAAAGATGGAAACTTTCCATGGGAATTTAAGGGAATAAACTGGGAATTTTTGAAATTGAAGGTTGGCTCTTCATAGGGAACTTAAAGGGGACCTATCATGCAAAATGCACTCTGTGATGTCTTTTATACATAAATATGTGTCCCCGGTGCGTCAGGGAACTCACGCAGCGTCAGAAAATAAAGCCCTCTCTCTTTTCCTCCGTACCCAAATCTTTTAAAAACGGGGCTACAACGAGCGGATACCGATT